ACAGTTGTTTGGCATGATCCACGCTGTGCATGAGGGGTATACACTATATAAGATATTATAATTTTGATCTTAATGATTGTATTGTAGTGGTTTAATCGCAATATTAACCTTTTAATAATCCACATCCAATTTTTCCACGATGCACTATGATAAATATTATGTTCTACGGTTTTTTTGTGCAATAAAATTCACATTCCGCTTCTCTCTGAGAGTGATGCTAACTCGTTCTTTCAGTGCTTTATTGTCAATTTATGTTGGATGTGTATTTTATTCCATCAAAATCTAAAATATTTTGCTCTACTTTGTTTGAAACTCGTGTAATTTCTTTAACCTTTTTATATGTGATCTATAAAAATTATCTCAGAAAAGTATCTGTTCTACTTCAACCCTAAGTATTGTAATGCTTACTTCATTTTTATCATCATGTAGGCCCATGCATGAAATTACTTTCTCAACAGTTGATAAGCCAAAGCTTCTGAGTCAGGTAACTGGTTTGCTTACTTATTCTGATACCCCAATCTGCCATGATTACCTAATGATTATTTACTTGCACAAACTGGTGCCCAAACTTTTGGTTTGCATTGATGACTGTCTTTATTGGTTTGTGTCTTCCTTCACCATCTAATCTTTAGATGAGAGTCAAAATAACTTCTACATTGACATCAAGTGGATTGCAATTAGAATTAGAGTCTGGGTAAAAAGAGCGACTATAGGATAAAATGTTTTGTTTTTCCTTTATAGTGTACTCTTCATTTCTTTGAAGGTTGGAAGCTAAATCTGCTTGCCATTCACAATTTATATTTTTATAACAGTAATACAAACCAAAATTCCTCGTGAGAACTGGGTTTTGTCCTCTGTACACTACACTTGCAATCTCATTTGGGATGCTATTTGGAATTTCAATTGGAATAATCTTGGAAGGAAACGAGAAGCTTGGCTGTTGAAAAAAATTGTAACAAAATTTGTTGTTCAATATTTTATCGGCAGTCAAGTCAATAAGCCTTAGACAGTTGTTCATGTGTAGTCTGAAGGTTTGACAGTGAGAGGACTTGTGTTACGTTCAGTAATTGTGACCTATTTGTTGGTCTTATATGAGCACGGGACTGAACTATTACAATGTGAACCATGCAGTTGACTTCTTTACTAGCTGAAGTTGGGTTGAATATCCAGGAAGCACATGCTTTTTCTACTGTGGATGGCTATTCTCTAGATGTCTTTGTTTTTTATGGTTGGCCATATGAGGTATCTCCGTCATTGCTGTTTTAATTCATACATTCTATTTGGAAACCCAACGTTATGAATCTCTGTATTTCTTTTACGGAAATTTAGCTCGATTTGACTATATTTTGTTTTTATAATTTTTGATAAAAATTTAGACTTTGCAATGCAATTGTTGTAGTTCAGTCAAAAAGTAAAATAAAATAAAATAAAAATCAAAGTGCTTTAGTCATAAATAACTATTTGTAACGCCTAACGTAAAATAGAAATTACCCCTTTAAATGAAATTAGTTTACAATGTTAAGTATTTCCTTGGTGATGTTGTCTGCTTTTATGCTTCATGAATCAAAATAAGATTACTAAAATGAACCATTTCTAACTCTACATAGTTTAAAATGCGATAGTTTTTAGGGAGTCTTTGTTAAAAGACCTAGTCAAACAATGATTTTGGTTAAAAACCCCTATCTTAATGTTTCTTGGCCAAATGGCCTTC